AAACAAAACAGTTTAAGTTATTGATTTCAAATATTGAAATAAATATAAAAAAATCTTCTGAAACTTATAATCATACAAATGTGAAAAAAGCATCGATCAATCGAATCAAAAAGTATCGATAAGAAAAATACTAGTTTTATATTGTTATGCACAAACTACTTTCGCATTTTACTTGAATCTATAAACTAGTAAAAAAAACTTAAATTAAGAAATATGTGTTAAAGCTTATTCTACAGTTTTTCTTCAAACCTTAAAAATTTATCCATGTTTACCATAAATATGACTAATTCAATTTATGCCAAATCTAGTCAAACTAAATCTATAGAATATGAAATTATTCAAGAAATAATACTTAAAAAATTATAGTTTTTTATAAAATAAAGTTTGCCATATAATTATTCACTACGTAGTCATAAATATTTCACTAAATCTTAAAATATTGTCTTACACTAGAGTATATCAATTTTCATTAATAAATATATTTAAAATAGTTAAAATAAGAGTCCTGGCTGTAAATCTAGTTCCTGACTAGTGCTAAGACCAAAAAAATTGAAAACTGAAAATACTCAGTTTTTATCCATTTTTATGTCTCCGCGATCAAGTAGGTTTAATTACTTGTAGTGATATTATAAAAAATAATAGTATCTAATTAATTATATAAATTGTTATTATATCAATTATTTTATAAAGAGTTAATAGACAAAAGACACAAAAAAAACATTTTCAAAAAAAAACGACAAAGAAATCTTTTCAATTTCAATAGTTTGAATGTGTAATAATCTTTCAATATTCTTTGTAAAATGTCTTCACTATTAATAGACTATTTGTAGAGAAATCATTTAAATAATTACAATTTTTAATTAACTTTTAATCGTCAGATCCCAAAATCATTAAAATGGCATAAAAAGAATTGTTGTAAAATTAATTATGTTTCTAATTTGTAAAATTTAAAAGCAAAGCTTTTTGTATATAAATAAATAGATTCGTTATCTTATGTACAACTTAAAATCATATAAAAATAGATCATGAGATAAAATATGCAAGCAAAACTGCCTTCTTACTTATTCCACAACCATGACATCTGAATCTGTGGACGGTGTGCGACTTACGTCTTGCGGCCTTCCGGCATCAACAATAGGTTGTTCCGTTCTCCTCATAGACTGAGCAATAACACTTAAAGGTATGTCATCCTCCTCCGAGTCACTTGCGGTTAAATCCACAACAAATGGTTCAGGATCAGCAGATGAAGATGGTGGAGTGTCTGCTATGCATTCAACAATGTCATTTTTCTCAATGTTTG